TTGTACATCAATCACTCAGCTCTCTAGCCCTTCTAGAGCATCACGAGAGTTGTACATCAATCACTCAGCTCTCTAGCCCTTCTAGAGCATCACTAAGAGGTGTACATCAGTCACTCAGCTCTCTAAGCCCTTCTAGAACATCACTAGAGTTGTACATCAGTAACTCAGCTCTCTAGCCATTCTAGAACATCACTAGAGTTAGTACATCAGTCAGCTCTCTTTTTAGCACCAGGGACCGGTTTTGTGGAAGACAAGTTTTTTCACGGACCGGGAGGCGGGGGGTTCATCATTGGGTCTTACTCCCCTTTCAAAGAAACTCTCCAGCGACGTTTGTTGTTGTACTCATGTTGGCTACTAGGGGATAGAGCCTGTGGGCTCACCAACACTGTGACTGAGACAAGGTGCAGGACAGAGGCGCGGACGGAATTGGTCAATAATAAAACAATGGGGGCTGGCCACGCGCGGACTCACCACTCACCACTATGCGGTGTGTAGAGTGTGTACACACACGGACTCACCGCTCGCCACTACGCGGTGTGTAGAGTGTGTACACACACGGACTCACCGCTCACCACTACGCGGTGTGTAGAGTGTGTACACACACGGACTCACCGCTCACCACTACGCGGTGTGTAGAGTGTGTACACACACGGACTCACCGCTCACCACTATGCGGTGTGTAGAGTGTGTACACACACGGACTCACCGCTCACCACTACGCGGTGTGTAGAGTGTGTACACACACGGACTCACCGCTCACCACTACGCGGTGTGTAGAGTGTGTACACACACGAACTCACCGCTCACCACTATGCGGTGTGTAGAGTGTGTACACACACGGACTCACCGCTCACCACTACGCGGTGTGTAGAGTGTGTACACACACGGACTCACCGCTCACCACTATGCGGTGTGTAGAGTGTGTACACACACGGACTCACCGCTCACCACTACGCGGTGTGTAGAGTGTGTACACACACGGACTCACCGCTCACCACTACGCGGTGTGTAGAGTGTGTACACACACGGACTCACCGCTCACCACTATGCGGTGTGTAGAGTGTGTACACACACGGACTCACCGCTCACCACTACGCGGTGTGTAGAGTGTGTACACACACGGACTCACCGCTCACCACTACGCGGTGTGTAGAGTGTGTACACACACGGACTCACCGCTCACCACTATGCGGTGTGTAGAGTGTGTACACACACGGACTCACCGCTCACCACTACGCCGGTGTGTAGAGTGTGTACACACACGGACTCACCGCTCACCACTACGCGGTGTGTAGAGTGTGTACACACACGGACTCACCGCTCACCACTATGCGGTGTGTAGAGTGTGTACACACACGGACTCACCGCTCACCACTACGCGGTGTGTAGAGTGTGTACACACACGGACTCACCGCTCACCACTATGTGGTGTGTAGAGTGTGTACACACACGGACTCACCGCTCACCACTACGCGGTGTGTAGAGTGTGTACACACACGGACTCACCGCTCACCACTATGCGGTGTGTAGAGTGTGTACACACACGGACTCACCGCTCACCACTACGCGGTGTGTAGAGTGTGTACACACACGGACTCACCGCTCACCACTATGCGGTGTGTAGAGTGTGTACACACACGGACTCACCGCTCACCACTACGCGGTGTGTTAGAGTGTGTACACACACGGACTCACCGCCTCACCACTATGCGGTGTGTAGAGTGTGTACACACACGGACTCACCGCTCACCACTATGCGGTGTGTAGAGTGTGTACACACACGGACTCACCGCTCACCACTATGCGGTGTGTAGAGTGTGTACACACACGGACTCACCGCTCACCACTACGCGGTGTGTTAGAGTGTGTACACACACGGACTCACCGCTCACCACTATGCGGTGTGTAGAGTGTGTACACACACGGACTCACCGCTCACCACTACGCGGTGTGTAGAGTGTGTACACACACGGACTCACCGCTCACCACTATGCGGTGTGTAGAGTGTGTACACACACGGACTCACCGCTCACCACTATGCGGTGTGTAGAGTGTGTACACACACGGACTCACCGCTCACCACTATGCGGTGTGTAGAGTGTGTACACACACGGACTCACCGCTCACCACTACGCGGTGTGTAGAGTGTGTACACACACGGACTCACCGCTCACCACTATGCGGTGTGTAGAGTGTGTACACACACGGACTCACCGCTCACCACTACGCGGTGTGTAGAGTGTGTACACACACGGACTCACCGCTCACCACTATGCGGTGTGTAGAGTGTGTACACACACGGACTCACCGCCTCACCACTACGCGGTGTGTTAGAGTGTGTACACACACGGACTCACCACTCACCACTACGCGGTGTGTAGAGTGTGTACACACACGGACCTCACCGCTCACCACTACGCGGTGTGTAGAGTGTGTACACACACGGACTCACCGCTCACCACTACGCGGTGTGTAGAGTGTGTACACACACGGACTCACCGCTCACCACTATGCGGTGTGTAGAGTGTGTACACACACGGACTCACCGCTCACCACTATGCGGTGTGTAGAGTGTGTACACACACGGACTCACCGCTCACCACTATGCGGTGTGTAGAGTGTGTACACACACGGACTCACCGCTCACCACTACGCGGTGTGTAGAGTGTGTACACACACGGACTCACCGCTCACCACTACGCGGTGTGTAGAGTGTGTACACACACGGACTCACCGCTCACCACTACGCGGTGTGTAGAGTGTGTACACACACGGACTCACCGCCCTCACCTCCTGCTGCTGAGCGGTCCGGTTCCTAACAGGCCACGGGACCGGTACCGGTCCACGGCCCAGAGGTTGGGGACCCCTGATATCAGACCTTCGAGACTGAGCACCACTGGAATGTGCCACTAACTGGAGGTGCGGTCGCCCTACGCAAGGGGGCGCTCAACACCAGCACGAGCGGCTGGTCCTGGGCACCCCCCCACGCCCACCAGCATCACCAGCCGTGATGCCGATCTCACACCCAGGGTGATAGCCACGCCAGCGAGCGGTGGCGCAGTGGTGAGCGTACTGCGCTATGAACCCAGTGAGTGAGTGAGTGAGAGTGTGAGTGAGTGTGAGTCTAGTTGAGTGAGTGAGAGAGAGCGAGGGTCTAATTGAGTGTGGATGAGATAGTGAGTGAGAGTGTGAGTGAGGGTCTAATTGAGTGTGAGCGAGAGTGTGAGTGAGAGTGTGAGTGAGAGTCTAATTGAGTGTTAATAAGAGTCTGAGTGAGAGTGTGAGTGAGAGTGTGAGTGAGGGTGTGAGTGAGAGTTTAAGTGAGTGAGCGAGAGAGTCTAATTGAGTGTTAATGAGAGTGTGAGTGAGAGTGTGAGTGACGGTCTAATTGAGTGTTAATGAGAGAGTGAGTGAGAGTGTGAGAGTCTAAGGGGCCGTCCATAAATTACGTCACATTGATTAAAAAGTCTATTTAATTAAGTAGAACGTGTTGTCTATATTTATTTAAAATTGCACTTTTACGTGATGTCACATTTCTCACCCCCCACCCTCGTCACACATCTTCACTAATGTCTGACCCCCCCCCCCTCCCAGGTGCGTGACGTCATTTATGGACGGCCACTAATTGAGTGTGCATGAGAGTCTAATTGAGTGTGAGCGAGAGAGTGACTGTGAGTGAGTGTGAGTGAGTGAGTATGAGAGAGTGAGTGTGAGTGACAGTGAGTGGGTAGCGGTAGTGTAGTGGTTAGTCTCACAGCCAACCACAACAACAACCACCACCACCACAACAACGCCACTTCTTCTTTCTTATGGCATGAAGGCAAGCACCACAACCGGCCGCCTTTGTCTCTCTCGCGGCGATGTTTACTACACACCGCACCAGGTTCTTATTTCAGGCTGAGTCGACCTAGGGGAGGGCCCAGGACCCGGTTCAGATGATCGTCACCGGTGTTGAAGGTGGCCGTGAGAGGGAATAGAACTCGGGTTGCCGGGTTCGATGCGCGGCGCACGTACACACACGTGTACACACACACACACACGTGTACACACACACGTGTACACACACACACGTGTACACACACACACGTTAACACACACGTGTACACACACACGTGTACCACACACACACGTGTACACACACACACGTGTACACACACACACACGTGTACACACACACACACGTGTACACACACACACACGTGTACACACAACGTGTACACACACACGTGTACACACACACACGTGTACACACACACACGTGTACACACACACACACACGTGTACACACACACACGTGTACACACACACACACGTGTACACACACACACGTGTACACACACACACGTGTACACACACACACGTGTACACACACACACACACGTGTACACACACACACACGTGTACACACACACACGTGTACACACACACACGTGTACACACACTCGTACAAGACAAAGATCCCCCGTATAGCCTTAACAGACTGTAGGGGCAAGTGCTGTTAGCGAGCACCTATAAAGGCCGGCACGGCACACGAGGGGGTGGGTGGCCAGCACCACGCCCGGCCGCCTTTGTCTCCCGAGTGACGATGTTTACACATCGCACCAGGTACTCATTTGAGGCTGAGTCGACCTAGGGGAGGCCCGGGACCGGTTCAGATAATCGTCGCTGGTGTTGGCCGTGAGCGGGAATCTAACCTGGGTCGCCAGGTTCATAGCGCAGCGCGCTCACTGCTACACTACCGCTCCCCGAACACACGTGTACACACGTGTATACACACACATACACGCGTACACACACGTGTACACACACACGTATACACACCGGTGCACACACACACGCACGCACACACGCACACACACGCACACGTACACACACGAACACACGCACGCACGCACACACACGCACGCACACACGCACGCACACACACACGCACCCACGCACACACACACGCACACACACACAGGGAGCCACCCCTCGTGACGTCAGTTGAGACTGGCTCCATTCGGCGGAGGGATACGGAGCGAGCGTCCGTCAGGGATGAAGGTGACGGTGGCGATGGTGGTGATGATGACCACGATGGCGGAGACGATGGTGATGGTGATGACGGTGATGATGACGGTGGTGATGATGGTGGTGATGGTGATGCCCCGCGTTTCTCCGCTCGTCGCCACCTCCTCCTCCTCGTGTCGTCCCCGCCGCGGCATCTTCTCTCCGCCGCCGCCGTGAGCTCCGAGTGGCGGTGGTGGTGACGACGTCAGTGGCACGAGTGGACACCACGGGCGGTGGTGGTGGTGGTTGTGGTGGTGCTGGTAGTTGATGGGAGAGAGCGAACCAGCACAGGCACCATCCACCCCGCGTCTCCCCCGATTAATGAACCCCGCACCCCCCACCCTGGCGTGGTCATGATTGCCGCTTTTGCTATTGCGGTCACTGACGCGACAACATCATCATCATCACCACCATCATCACCATCATCATCAGCAGCGGCATTCACTCTTCTCATCTACAGCAACACAACCGCAGCAGCAGCCGGCGACGATAGCGGCGTTGACGGCGAGAAGGTACCACTCGTCGAAGAACCGCTGCTGCTGCTGCCCCCACACCTCCCCCACCTCCACCACCTCCTCCTACTCGGCGTGTCGCTCGTCGCCGCGATGTGCACCTCGCTGTTCGCCAACCTCCTCCTCCTCGGCGTCTTCTACCGGCGGCCGGGCCTCCTCTTCCACATCGCCAACCGGTTCGTCTTCAACCTCATCGTGGCCGATCTCCTGCAGACGACGGTGGCAATGCCTCTCTCCCTCGCGCCGCTGCTCAGCGCGTCGCGCCCCGCAGCCTCCTACTGCCACGTGGCCGTGGCGTTGAGCCACCTGTTCGCATTCGCCGGCGTCAACACGATCGCGGTGGTCTCCGTCGACCGCTACCTCGCCATCATTCACCCGCTCTCCTACCCGACCAAGATGACGCCGCGCCGTGCCGCCAACCTCATCGCCTGCACCTGGGCAATCGGAGCCTTGCAAGGCGGCCCCCCCTTGCTCGGCTGGGGGGCGGCCGGGCACGACCCGGCCACGGGTCTGTGCGCCCCCCTCTGGAGCGCGCACGCCTCGTACGCGGCCTACGTGAGCGTGGCCACATTCTGGCTGCCCGTGTGCGTGATGCTCTGCTGCTACGTGATGGTGTTCCGCGCGGCACGGAGGCAGAACTTGCTGGTGCGTCCGCTGCGACGGGTGTGGAGCGGCGGCGTGGATGCGGCAGGCGGAGTAGGAGAAGGGGAAGCAGGAGGTGGTGGAGATGGAGGAGGGAGGAGGAGGAGGGGAAGGAGGAGGAGGAGGAAGAGGAGGGGAAGGAGGAGGTGGTGGAGATGGAGGAGGAGGAGGAGGAGGGGGCGGAGGAGGAGGTGGTGGAGATGGAGGAGGAGGAGGAGGGGGAGGAGTAGGAGGAGGAGGGGAAGGAGGAGGTGGTGGAGATGGAGGAGGAGGAGGAGGAGGAGGAGGAGGAGGAGGTAGTGGAGATGGAGGAGGAGGAGAAGGAGGAGCTGTTCAGGGCCAGGCGAAAGAGCGCCGTCGTTATCGGCAACACTGGAAAGCTGCCCGCGTCGTCTTCCTCATCCTGGCCTCCAACGTGCTCTGCACGGCGCCCTACAGCGCGCTCGGCGCCGCGGCCACGCGCGCTCCGTGCTGGGTGCGCGCGTGCGCCGCGCTCCTGTTCTTCTCGCAGTGCTGCGTCCACCCCTACATCTACGGCTACATGCACCGCAGCATTCGCCGCGAGATTGTGCGGGCGCTCTGCGGGATGCACGTGGCCGACGGCGGCGGGTGGCGGTGGCGGTGGCGGCGGCCTCGCCGCGGGAGGCGGCGGTGAGCGACCGCGGCGAGCCGGTACCTCGGTGGACAGCGGGCAGACGAGGAGCGAGAGGAGCGAGAGGAGGAGGACGATGAGGAGGATGAGGGGGAGGACGAGGGGGAGGCGATGCGGGGTGACGCAGAGCGAACTGGGTGATGGCAGCAACACGGACAGTGCTCTGCCTTCAAGCGCAACGGACGGCAGCTGCGCCCGGCAGCAATGCGGCGGTGCTGCTGCTGCCGGGAGGAGCGCCCTGCCCTGCTGCAGCTGCTGCTGCTGCAGCTGCAGCAGTAGCAGCGGCTGCTGCTGCGTGGCGGAGAGCGACAAGCAGGAGCAGCAGCGCTTCGCCCCAGCGGAAAGCGTTAACTGTTTCAGCACCGGGGAGAGCGCCCTGATCTGCAGAGCCAATAGCAGCGCCCTGCCGTTTATCACTAGTTAGTGCTGATGACGTCATGTTGTTTATCAGTAGTTATCACAGATGGTGCCATGCCGACTTTTCAGTGGCGACAGCTTTTTCATTCCGAGGCTCCGATTAGCACATTTTGGCTAGCTACGTACGGCGCGAAAGAAGTTCGACATCGTACGTACACATTTCATGGCGGCGATTCTTGCCACCATCGTCAGCATCGTCGTTGTGCTACTCATCATCACCCGCCATCATCACCTCCATGATCATGACTGTGATGATTACGGCATCCTTTGCTGTGATTCGAGTCGCGTTAGTTGCGATGTCTGCGTGACGCAACCACCAACTACGGCTCACGCGGCGGTTGCCGGACGAGCTCGGCGGGGAAGGGGTTGTGACCGAAACGTCGGACAATGATGCGGCGAAACCACGGCGGCGTCATAGCCGATGAAGCCCACGAGAGTCGAAACTGGTACCGAGTTTGAACATATTTGTGTCAGAGTCCCAGCTGCGCTTCTGATATTATTATGATCACGACCGGCGTTGTTGTTGTTGTTGTTGTTATTACGACTGTTGTTGTTTTTACGACTGTTGTTATTGGTGATCTCAGTCGTTCAAATGCCCAAAAAGTCAAGCGGTCAGCAACAAACGAAAAATGAAGATGTAAGAATTCCTAAAAAAAAAATGTTGAAGAGGTGTCACGTTGGTGAGACCTTTGGGAAACAGAGACGTGGGAGGGACGAACACGTGCTGTGACCTGCTGAGTGGTGGGTGAGTGGGTGGTGAGTGAGTAGGTGAGTGAGTAGGTGAGTGTTTGTGTGTGTGAATGTGCCGCTGTAACCACGGAGTGATGAGTGAGTGAGTAGGTGAGTGTTTGTGTGAGTGGGGTGAGTGAGTAGGTGAGTGTTTGTGTGAGTGGTGTGTCGTTGTTACCTGCGGAGTGGTGGGTGAGTGAGTGGGTGAGTGAGTGAGTAGGTGAGTGAGTAGGTGAGTGAGTAGGTGAGTGAGTAGGTGAGTGAGTGTGCCGCTGTGACCTGCTGCGTGGTGAATGAGTGGGTGAGTGAGTGAGTGGGTGAGTTAGTAGGTGAGTGTGCCGTTGTTACCTGCGGAGTGGTGGGTGAGTGAGTGGGTGAGTGAGTGAGTAGGTGAGTGTTTGTGTGAGTGAGTGTGCCGTTGTTACCTGGGGTGTGGTGGGTGAGTGAGTGGGTGAGTGAGTAGGTGAGTGTTTGTGTGAGTGAGTGTACCGTTGTTACCTGCGGCATGGTGGGTTAGTGGGTGGGTGTGTGGTTGGTTGGGTGAGTGAGTAAGCGGGTGAAGTGAGTAGGTGAGTGGTTTCGTGGGTGAGCGAGTGAATAAGTGGGTGAGCGAGCGAGCGAGTGTGTGAGTCAGTTTCTGTTTGAATGGATAGAGGCTAAAGGGGCGCTGCACGGTCTACAGGAGAGATGGACTGATGCAGTTCAAAAAGGATGTGGCGCTGAGTGGACTTGTCGATGACCGGCACCAGCGGTGTCAAGATCGACCTCTGTGAAGGAGGAGGCTCGTGAAGGACGCTGCTACTGGGCAGCTGGAGGCAGTCGCCCTCCAAACAACAGCGAAGGGCGGAGGGGCGATGCTCACAACAACGAGCGGAAGCGCCGGGCGGCTAAACTCAGCGAGAACAGCTGGTGCGTCTGCCAACCATCTCAGTCGGTCGACCCATGGCATATGGGTCTGACCTCCTGACCTCCTGCCAGCAGCGAGCCTTCGACACTTCGCGTGACGGACTCAAGGTGCACCTAGCCTGGCACAAGGGCCGGCCGTGGCGGTGATGTCCTCGCCGCTTCATCAACAAACAGCTGCTACTGCTGCTGTGCGCGCACGCGTGAGTTTGCGAGTGTACAATTGGCTTGACAAAGGACATTGGCCCTAAAACGTCGAACTAAGGCAGATTTGTGTTGTTGTTTGTTGTTGTTGTTGTGATGATGATGAATGATTCGGTTTCGCGTTCGTGGGTTGTGTTAAATCCTTCACCGGCGTGATGCAGCGGAGGAGGTTCACAGGCTGTGCGCGCAGACTGCGTCATGCGCGGTGAGCTTCTCTCTCTCGCTCTCTCTGTCGCTCTCTCGTGTCGGGTGGTGGCGGGTTTAACGACACATTTATATTTACGCGATCTCCCCCCCCCCCCCAAAAAAAAACCTCTATTTTGCTAAGTGTGTGTCACAAACACAAAACGCGCCAATTACTTATTGCTTCAGCACCAGTTGAAGTGTATTGGAGAGTAAAATTAACAACAACATTTAACAATTCTAGGACTACTAATAGGGTTTTCCCCTTTTTTCTGGCAACAAACTGACACCTTTTGCAAGGAATCATGCTTACATTAACCACAATACTTGCAGTCAAATGCAAACAAAAACAATACTCTGATAATTTATGCATTGTCTTTGAAACTGATTGGTCCACACCAGAGACATGCTTACATTAACCACAATACTTGCAGTCAAAATGCAAACAAAAAACAATACTCTGATAATTTTTGCATTGTCCTTGAAACTGATTGGTCCACACCAGAGACATGCTTACATTAACCACAATACTTGCAGTCAAATGCAAACAAAAACAATACTCTGATAATTTATGCATTGTCTTTGAAACTGATTGGTCCACACCAGAGACATGCTTACATTAACCACAATACTTGCAGTCAAATGCAAACAAAAACAATACTCTGATAATGTATGCATTGTCTTTGAAACGGATTGGTCCACACCAGAGACATGCTTACATTAACCACAATACTTGCAGTCAAATGCAAACAAAAACAATACTCTGATAATTTATGCATTGTCTTTGAACTGATTGGTCCACACCAGAGACATGCTAACATTAACCACAATACTTGCAGTCAAATGCAAACAAAAAACAATACTCTGATAATTTATGCATTGTCCTTGAAACTGATTGGTCCACACCAGAGACAGCTTTCTTTGGAGCCTAGTCTCATATGGTGTTCGACCAGATGACGCCAAAAGGCGAAAAACCCTATTAATTCTAGGACTGTTTGCCCTGTCGCTGGTGCTTACAACAACAACAGCAACCGTAACAACAACCCGCTTTATCAGGCGATTTGGCAGAAATGTGAATGGAGTCTTCCAGTTTTGAGTCTGAGAGTTAAAACGACGTGATCACTGTGAGCCTATCAGGTGCGGAGTTCAATGTAGTCACGCGAATTACAATTGTGCTAAACCTGATCATGTATTACAATTTACTAAAACGTATACGTTGTTATAATTCTGCAATCTCTGATTAAGCACGGCTGGCTACGTACGGTGCAAAAGAAGTCAAACACACATACACAGTACACGTCTAAAGCGCCTTTCACCCTGAGGTCACATGGTGCTGTAGAGAACAAGGCATGTACTATAATACAAATGAATACAGATGTAGCCACATAGAATGAGTGACTGGAACGCGTAGCGCTGGGGGGCTGGTCAGAGAGATAGTGGGATTATGGGTAGCAGCCCGGTCTACCGGTGGGACACGTGGGCAAAGCCCGGAGCCTTCTGGGGGAATCCTGAAGGGGGCGTGGTCGAGGCCACGCTGGGGAGGATAAAAGGACGAGCTCCGACTCACAGTCGGGGCTGCAGTCGTCGTGGTCTTCGCTTCTTCTAGCTGTGGATCAGGCAGCGTGTTGGATGTCCTGACCCGGTGTGTAGTTGCCCCCTAAGGCTAGTGAAGGGCGGAATAAATGAGAGAGAGTGCCTCCTACTCGTGTCTCTGAATTAGCACACTACGCAGACATAAACCGATCGAATAAAACGACAAAATTAATTATTAAAGGAATTGAAAAAGGCCTAAAAGAATATTATTAAAACGAATTATTGATATTGTGAACTGTGTTTTTATTTATTTACGAAGGAAATGCCCCACTGAGCTGTTTAGATTGTTTTCAGAGGGCGGCCTGGCCACAAATGATACCTCAACAACGTGGCATGCAATCGCGTGGAAATGTATCAGCCAAATAATGCGATGTTGATTATAAATGTTGAGGGAAAAAACCGGGGGACCGGGAGAAAAATCCACGCGATCACCACGGAGAGAGAGAGAGAAAACACCACAAACTCCAAATATTCAGCAGCAGGCGTCACGGTCGGGATAGAGATCGAACCCACGACCTCCTGTATACCAGGCGAGGTAGTAAACATCTCACCACGGAGTGAGAGAGAGACACCGCAAACTCCAAATATACAGCAGCAGTCGTCAGGGCCGGGATCGAGATCGAACCCACGACCTCCTGTATACCAGGCGAGGTAGTTAACATATCCTAGCCACCGTGGCTTGACGAAGCAGGTGGGCACGAGGGGGTTCAGAGGTTCGTGAATTCGCACCACGAGGTGCGATTTGAATGAAGCGAGGTGGAGGAGGGGTGGGTGGGTGGGGGTGGGGGGTGCCGGAGTTCCCTGAGGGTGAGTGAGGGGTGAGGGTGAGTGAGGGTGAGTGAGGGGTGAGGGTGGGTGAAGGGTTGAGGGTGAGTGAGGGGTGAGTGAGGGGGTGATGGGTTAGTGAGGGTGAGTGAGGGGTGAGGGTGAGTGAGGGATGAGGGTGAGTGAAGGGTGAGTGAGGGTGAGGGTGA